TATTTAAGGGTAACTTTATGTTATTTTACATAATGAAAATGTGGGAAAATTGCTAGAAAATAGAACATATCAAGTGGCTATAGTTGTGGCTATTGTTGTTAATGATCATCGGAGTCAATCAAAATTGATGGCTAAATGTTTATATTTTTTCTGGGGATTTTTTGGATTTATTATTTTTTCTAACATGCCTCAAGAGGATTAACATAAGGACTCTATTGGTAGGCCTCCAATTAGTAATAGTAAGATTTTTATTCACTCATCATTTTTAGTATAGATATAGGTATGTGTGTAATTTATAAATAGATGTAGGAGTATCATGGGTTTACTTTTTCATAATAGCTATGGTGAATAATCTATAAATAGTTATGGATATATTTTATTTATACTTTTCGTAACGGCAGAGATAGTTAATTTGTAAATAGACATATCAGAACACTTAGATTTCTTTTTTCCTTATTAATGCGATAATTGTTAGCCTTGAGAGAGAATGTGGTGGCATCTTTTGTTGGTCAATTGCAAAGACAGTAGATAGATAAATTGGAATCTAGATATGTGTAACTGTAAACTAACAACAACCAAACCGTACGTTAGCATGGCCTTTAGATGAAATATTTTTTATATAGGCACACTGATTTCATTTTTTAACTTTTATTTATTTTGTTCGAAGACAAAATTTGGTCTAATATTTTAGCTGTGGACTTATCAAAGGATGGATGAGAGCGTGCTCATATAAAAAGCCAACGACCGTCAGTCCATCACAGCCCAGAAAGTTTTGTACTGCCTTTACATTATTGGCGCAGCACTAGGCCAAGTGGGCCATCGATCGTTATCCTATTTTTTTTTGTGACTGCCATCGATCGTTATCCATGTGTGGCAATTTGTGTTTTTTTTCTTCTTCCCATTTTATTTGCCACTTTGCCATCGCTCATGCATTGAAACAAGAAAATGATTCGCAGGGCCATCTGTACGCGTCGATCAAAATGTTGCCATCACAAAGGATTCTTGAAATGCTCTTCTCGCTGTTCCAGTTATTATTCGGCAGAAAGCTTAGAATAACACTAAGCCATCCAAACGAGCTCAACTCGGTACTATATATGGTGGGGTTGACCACACCCTAATATATGTATAGACATTGCATATATATACCTTCGTCCATAAAATAAGTATTTTCTAATATTTAAAATTGGTCCACAAATAGCGACAAGACACCTTTTAGTTACACCCTCCGTTCCAAATTAGAAGTCGCTTTGATTTTTTTGTTTCATCTATTTTGCTATATATCTAAACATATTATTTATCTAGATGTATAGCAAAATGGATATACCAAAAAAGTCAAAGCGACTTATAATTTGAAACGGAGGGAGTAGTAGATTATCTAGTGATGATTAAGGAGTGTAATCCGAAAATAGCAAAGTTAGAGGAACCCCCCCTCCCCCTCCCTTTTAGTAGCCCCTGTCATCTCAATGTTGATGGGCATGTCTATGACCCAAAGAATAGGACCATTAAATCCAAAAATACATCTAAAAATGTGAGCACCCTAGTGAAATTTAGGATTTGAACTTGGATGGACAGATTTCACCATAAAAAAATTAAACTAACTGAGCTATGCTCAATTATTCCATGGCCAGCTACAGAACAGTACTCGTATATAATCAGTTCAAATCAAACGAGATAGGAACCCTTTGTTCTACACAACGGTTACCTCCATTTCATTTTATTGCTACGACACATAACAGTGCGATGAACAAAAATGAAATGTAGCTTAATTGGAACCAGAGTCTTACAAAATACGTGTGCTCTTAATTGGTGGTTAATTGGACTGCAGAGGAAGTGGTAGGAAAATCATGAAAAAGAAAAGGAATTTGCATGCTTCATGTCTAAAATCTAGTAGTTTGAAACGGCATAAACAGAAAACTTTAACCTTAACAATTGTTGAAGGGATTATTATGATGACTTATACTTTTTTTCTATTTCTATTTAATATAACTACATTTCTATCAAAAATCATGAAACACACAGCACAAAAGCATAAAGGAAAAAAGTAAGAAAGGGATTTGATACTTCTTTTTAAGACTCAGTTTTTTTTCGTGAACATGCAAATAATGCACATGCTTCATTAAATGAAAAAGAGGTTACAAGCTTTTAAGTTACAGGCATGATTGGCAACATGTCTCAGAGTGCAAGTGTAAATCATATCATAGGCAGATGCCCTCCCACCCTGCACACAGAAGCCACATTGTTGGTCTAGTTTAAGCTATTACACAGATGAATTGGGGAAGAATAAAACTCATTCCTGCGTAACGAGTCTTCTAACGACCGAGTGATGAGTGCAGTTACACTCTATTTTATCATAAGTCAAATTTCTTAAATTAATTTTAACCAAGTTTATAGAAAATTGTATCAAAATCTAGAACATCAAATTGCTTTCATTAAATTCTAATGAAATGACTTCATAGTGCATTTAATTTATTTGAACTCTTTGATATTCTTATATATATATTTTTAAAATACAGTCAAAATTAGAGAAGCTTGACTTAGAGAAAACTAAAATGAATGACATATAATTTGAAACAAAAGGAGTACATAGTATGGTGCTTTCTATAGATCTATATTAGGATGGCCCATGTACCCCAAATATTTATTAATAATGAGATAATGACAGTCTAGCTAGCAAATATATGTCACAGTCCTTATGGTGGGTTGGGATCGAGCAATTAAACTTCATTCAGTATAATCGATTATCTCCGTTGGAAGTTACGATTTGCTCACCATATATATGAGCATATATAATTAAGCTCCCACTTTGTGAATATATATATGTACACGATGCTACTATATGTATGCAACCCTAACAAGGCAGTCTGAACGAGAGCGGTACCTATATTGGGAGACCAGTACGTAAACGCGCGTAAACCTTTAATACAATGCATTGGTTCAAATTATTAAAGATGGTAATAATAGAGGATGCACTATATACATCAAATATATATGTGCAGGAAATCGAATGATATTTGAATCGATAGCAGAGAGTTACGTAGCTAGAAGGCCACTGAAATACGGCATCTCTAGTGTACTTTTGCGTTTAGTTCTTGGTGCGGGCATGCATGGTTTAGACTTTAGAGCTCTGGAGGCCTAGTAGTCTTCCTAATGTTTACTGAAATAATGTTTACCTTTTTCAGCTACTACCTATTACTAGAAGACCGAGGAACATATTCACACCAATGGTTTATTAATAATAATGTGGGTATAAATATAATGTAAACCTTTCGTCAAAAAAAAAATAATAATGTAAACCAACAATTTAGCTCTCAAGCGTTTCACTTATACCATTTGCTTTTGCAGAACTTACCTATTTTATACTGGGATTGTAGGCAGGGGACGGAGAAGCTACGTTTGTAGCTGTGGGTCTAGAGATGCACCCCCCACGAGATACAAAACTAGTGATAAAGTTTAATATGCATCCTCTACGGACTGTCCATGCACACAAGGCAGTCGCATCTCCCTTTAATTTGTTCTATTTTCGCCATTGATTATATGCGGCACAACAAAGAAGTCTCATGATAACCATTCTGACTTCCAGGCGGGGAAGCTCTCCCCTCCGTAGTTCGCGTAAAAAAAAAAACCATTCTGACTATTTCAACATATATTCTCATATGCAAGTTTGCATAAAAGGTAATTTGTACTATATATATATAGTACACAAAATGAAAACTTTTTTTTGTATAATGCTACATATATACACCGCTACGCGGTTAGACAATGAACACTGAAAGTTCCTAATATTCCTAAATTTACTGTCCAATGTTTCGTTACTCTTTTATATATTTGTATTCAGCTACATGTGCTGTGTTCTCTGCTTGGTTGTTAAAATAGTGTGATTCCCTAATTTAATTTGCTTAAGCACATAGTTATATACAGCATGATCCAAGGCATTTATTTATTTTCTGAAACATGCGTGTTTTCATGCCTCAGCAGGAAATTTAATGTTTAAGAACTGAGCCAGCAGGATATGTCTTGATTCTTGTAAGAATTACAGACAGAGCTGCAGCATGCAGCAATGAACAATGGAAGAAGTAGAAGCGGATCAGAATATCAGGTGCAGCAGCCTGCGTGCAGCAGGGAAAGAATTGCACAATAACGAAGCCAAGAATGATAGTACAGTTGCAGAGACGATGAGGATGCAGTAGTAGAGTATAGATATCCATGAAAAGCATCTGATGTTTAGGCCTTGTTTAGATACACTCAAAATTCCAAGTTTTTTCACTCTCTCTCCATCACATCAATTTTTAGCCGTTTGCATGGAGCATTAAATGTAGGTAAAAAAAATAACTAATTACAGAGTTTAGTTGGAAATCACGAGATGAATCTTTTGAGCTTAGTTGGTCCACGATTGGACAATATTTACCAAATAAGACGAAAGTGCTACTATTCATCGGGTTGAATTTTTTTTCAATCTAAACAAGGCCTTAGAAGAAAGACTAGGGTCTGATCTGACCTGATTCCAATCAGCCAATAACTGCCTCTGCTACGGTGCTACCTTGCTTTGGGTGGAGAGCCTTGTGAAGTTGCCCGGAGGGGCCCAGAGAGTGCTTCATCAAGAAATTGATGAACTAAAAAATTACATGACCCAAACAGTAAGATATGCACACATTGGGGACTAACTGATATCGTATGCAGAGTGGACAGGGCAGTTCTTAAATTACTGAACTTGGTCAGAGATTCAGAATATGTACAATTACGATGAGCAGGATATAACATATTCTCGGAACAAAGATCAAATTAAGAAAAGAGAAGAAACACACATTGGTTAATAAGGAAAGCACAAGTGAACTAATATGAGCAAGATCATGAAGAAATATCAATCCATCAACAATTACACATGCAGATGCAGTACTGGAGCTATATACCAGAGCTGTTCCAACCACTTGATCAGTTCGCGCGCGTGTCAGTGCCTCAGTTCCTCGGCCCAATTTCTCCTTTTTGCTAGCTGTTGATTGTCTTCACAGTCTAAGATCCAAAGAGCACGCATCCTTCCCTGCCGTCGAGGAGGATGTTGACGACGATGGCGACGGCAATTGCAGAAGCGTCGACGCCGTCCGGGTGACTGTGGCGCCGTCTTCGGCAGCGTCCGGCGGGCAGTCGAGGTTCACCCCGAACAGGCGGACGCGCTTTGACCTCGTCGCCTCCACCGCTGATGCAGCAACGTGCACGGGCATTGACGTAAGAACAACGGCTGCCGGCACCTGCGGGCGCAGGAACAGCACGTGCCGGCTGGGCGCCGGAGTGGAGCCGCCGTAGTCCTGCCACGGGCAGATGGGCACCGACGGGAGCGGCAGGAGGCGCTGCGCAGACACCAACGGCGGCTGCAGGAACGCGAAGTCCTGACGGCGGCGGCGGAAATCGATGAAGAAGCGGCCGCGCGGGGCGCCCTCGCCGCCCGCGCCGCGCGCGAACAAGACTGTGTCCCCGGCGCCGAGGCGCTTCTCCTTCACGAAGCGGCTCCATCCCTTGGTCATCACGTAGCTCTGGCTGCTGTTCCAGTACGAGTAGCGGAAGCGCCACGACTTCCCCGCCCGGTCCTCGAAGCTGAGCACCAGCCCCTTCCCGCCGCCTGCCGCCGCCGCGGCGGCGGCGGTCAAGGCGTCCAGCGCGGGGAAGTAGCGCTCAGCGTGCTGCTTTGGGATGACGAGGCGGTTGAGCTTCCCCACGTCGCTCGGGGTGACCACCTTCTCGAACATGTGCTCCTTCTCCACCCACGCCACGCCGCCGCGAGGCCTCTCGGAATCCTCGACGACACGGGCATACGCGGGCGTGAACTCCATGGGGCTCCCAGCTCACACGCGTCTCGAGCGAACTCCGGCTGCTGCTGCTATAGCTGTTGACTTTTGACTAGTATGCTACTTCAGGGAGGCAGGAATCTGGTGGTATGTAACAGTACTATATCCCACAACTATTCTTAGGAGGAGGGGGTTTAGGATTAGATTAGCTCAATATTATATGTGGATGCAGCTCTGTCGAACTTGCTAGGATAGCAGACGATTGGCTAGCTGCTGGATAAAGAGTGCTGTTTGTTCTTGTAACTTAGTGATCAAAAGATACTCCTATATAGGGAAGAAATGGGATCTAGCTTGCTGGGAGTTCTGTGGAGGTGGTTTCTGTGTGTGGTTTGCAATTGTGAGATCTTCAGCAAAGGTGCTGTGGCTGTAGATCAGTAGGCATCAGTGTACATGAGACAGGGAGGGGGGGAAGGTTGGAAAGAGCGATACAAAGCAGCCCCCAGCTAGCTTTCTTAAGGAGGAAGATGAAGCTGAGGCCGGTGGTGGGGAGAGGAGGAGGGGCGAGAGGGACTAGAGGGCGATGTGAGAGGGGTGGGGCCCACGAGCGACGAATGATAGGGCTTGAGATCATGTGAGTATGCATGTCACTCTCAGCTCAGCCTATTGGGATACTCTCACCTCTCTAGCTAGCTCCTCCATCCATGGATGGATGTATGTATGATCTCGCGGCTGCAGTGATTCAGCAATTGCGTGTTGACACTTGACAGCATGAATGATAAGATGCAGGTATGGGAAAAAAAATATCTGCTCCTCCTGGATCGGTAGGTCGTGGCAGAATAATGGACAGTACTCCCTCTTTTCTCTCTCTCTATTTTTTTTTAGTTTTTCATCAAATATAATGCTTTGATCTATATTCGTATCCATTGATCATGAGATTGCGCTAGCTACTGAGCCACTGAGAGTTCTGCAATGCCCAGCTCCCCACCAGTGTGCTACAAGCAAGAAGAAGCAATTAACTGCAGCAGGTTCCGACCTGCCGTAGTAAGTAATGTGCAGCTGTTGCAATGGTGGTGTTCGATCGCCTTTGCGCTGCGCGGCGAGGACAACGGAAATTGCACACATGCATATTATGCTCATTTTTTTTAACATTTCTCCTAAATTCAGGTGCTTGGTTTATTTGTTTGTTGAGACATATAATTTTTTTTTATTGTTTGACTATAAAAGATTATAAATTATTCTTTTAATTATTTTTGTTGGCTGTCTAAAATTATTACCTAAAAAATCATGCCCCTGGGATATAGCAACTCCTATTTTTCATTGGTTCGTGCAATTAAAGTATATAAACTTTGTACTCCTACATATGCCCTCATTCTAAATATATATCTTCAATTAGGAATTTAGGGCAATGATACGGTCTCAAATGTGACATTTGGCTTTGTGACTTTTTGTTAAAATATACGTAAATAGTAGAAATTACATATTATAAAAGAATTTCTCATGATGAAAACAGTAGCATCAACCATATGCCGTGAAAAAATTATCAAATACAAATGGTTCAATTTTTCTAAAAAATTAACCGAATACAATACTAAATGATCTACATTTGATATTGATCAACGTATATGATAACACCCTGTGGTATTTCTAAGCATATTTCTTTGACGTTACTTTAAGCCTATTTGGTACAACTTATAAACTACTTATGATCAAAATAAGCTCAAACCAACCGGGCTGCTTGTACACCTATTTGTGTAGCACTTATCCACCAAGAAGCGCCCAGATAAGCTATACCAAAGTACCAAACCCCACCTTTGAGGCACCACTGGATACATACAGTTGATGGCTTAGAGCAACATCGAGAACTTCTTTATATCCGTTCTAATTGGTAAGAATCAAAATTTTGGTTAAAGAAACTAGTCTTCAGCGGATTCTTTATTTAAATCTCTAAATATAGATATCCTCTATTTCGGATTTCTCACTAGCTAAACATAGAGAGGTGAGGCTAGCTCTCAAAAGTGCGCACAAGACCTAGAGAAGCTAGTGGAGCATGAAAAGATATAGAGATTGATTTTTATTCAAATTCAAATGACTCTCTCTAAATAAAGATATAGATAGAGAGTGAGTTTAAGAGAGGCTCTTGGAGATGCTCTTACTGCTTTGCTGCTGTTCTGGTGACATGTCTATTTGGATCGATCAAACAAAATGGCGACAGTGCTGTTCGACAATTTTTCCATATTTAGCAACGACCTAGCTTGGTTTGTATTATACCTGATCCTGGTCGACTAGGTCTTTCTGCCGTGCGTGCTCGCATATTTACATGTGCTGAATGCAATAATAAATATTCGGCCCCTAATTAAGAAATGCCCTAATTAAAAAATGTAACCTGTATCTTATACTAGTAGTGCTGCTGGTGCATAGTTTTATATGCATGTAACGAGAGTGCCACGTAAGATTTTTTACTAGCACACTAATATAAAATTGATTTTAGAAGATAACCTCATTATGTAACGCGAGAGGAGATTATCCTTGCATCTCCTAAAATACCTAGCAAACTTCACAAGTAAGTCGGTCTATTTAGAGAGACAACACAAAAACAATATCTCTATAAATCTATTTACACAGGTAGACTTGTAAAGAGGCCCGTCTCTAAAAATAAAACTTAATTTTAGAGTTGGACCCCATAAAGAGGGCTGACTTAGAAAACAAACCCGAAACCCACTCGCCTATCATCGTGGTCACGTATATAAGTAGGCCCTTAGGGTTTGAATCGTCCGACATTCTCTCTCTCTCCTCATTTTTTAGTCACAGTTTCTCACACACACTCTCTCTCTTCTTTCTTGCCCCTCGACTCTCTCTAGATGGCGCTGCGGCAGCTTGGCCTGTAGAAGGCACAACGATAGGGCCTTGGCGGCTACTGGCCGAGGGCGTGGCAGGCAACGCCCATGGTGGCTATCCGACCGAGGGCGTGGCGGGAGCAGAGGCGGTGCCTTGACTAATGGCCTGCTGTCTGGTGGAGGGTGAGGCGGGCATGACGGTGGCATCCCGACGGCTGCCTACACGAGTTAATAGGAATCGTTGAAACAAGTGGGCATACAAGATCAATCAGGGTATTGTGTCGTCGTAGTTTTGACCACTAGGTGTGTTTGAGTCCATTAGCAGGGACGCATATATGGGGTCCTGGCCTCCCCTAATACTATATATTAATTTACCACATATCATCCAAGATAGGATTTGTGGTTTGCTTTGATCAATTTGTCATTGAACAATTGTCGTTCATTAGTTTAGGATCATAGACCCTAACTTCGAGTGCTTAATCATTCTTTAGCAAATTTCATCTGTGTTCTTTTCTTGTATTCTTCTATTTGCAGTCATGGATTAGCATTCATGGCGAGGTTAATTAACCGGACAGCGCACGGTTGATAACTAGAGGAAACGTGATGCTATGATTGTGGGGTTCGGGTTTTTATAATAAAAAACCAGATCATGTGTCAAGTTTTCACCTAATGGAAAATCAGGCACCCTTGTTCCAATCAATATTCTCTCTTCATACGATACCATTTTTGAATAAACAAAAGTATATGCATGTTTATTAGCGCAAAAAGATGCATTAATGGATTCCTATTTCACATGGTGTCTTTAGAAAGACAGATTTTGTAGTAACTGACGATAAATATATTGTAAGAAAAAATAATGGGCAAAATATACCTTGAAAGTCTTTCTAATACGCCTTATTATGAAATAAATGGAGAGATAAATATATCCGACAGTTGAAACTTGAAAGTACTCCGTCAACTTGATCTGCGATTAGAATCGAGATGGTTGAGATCAGAGGACACAGAACGTACGTATGTGGATGCTCCTTGGTCTTTTTTTTTTTCATAAAGGGGGGAACAAAAGCTTCTTGGCCTAACCCAATTGCATGATTGAAGGATCATCTATACTGGGTATATAGGAGTATATATCGTCGATGTACAAGCAAATTGCTTGACGCTTTGGGCACTTGCAAACCAAATGGATCTCTAGATGCATGCACACTGATCCACTGATAGAGATCCCTCACACAGTGATACAGCTTGCTTCATTCTGATTGGTCGAGGACTTAAGATACTTTGACCGGTGCAGACACCTAGCAGATGGAGCATGGGCGCGTGATTTGCACAAGTGGGTCGTCATAGAGGTCCCAGGGATTAAAGATAGACAACAGAGCTCTTTTTATACAAATCATCTGGTCCGTGGAGATAAGATCATGTGGCATGCATGCATTTTCATAACGCTACTAACCGGCTGGCCTCGCACAGTCCAATAAGAGCAGCAGATTTCGTGGGGGACCGGCCGGAGTGCGCGTACGAGCATATGATATTATTGCATTGGCACACCAGCTGAAGCTCTGATGATGATTTAATTTGATGGGACAAAATGTGCAGATGAAACAAACAGTGCTTAACTGTATATACATGTCCATGCTATTTTCTGCAGTCTGAAGAGCTACCTTCTAATGACAAATCTGCGGCTTGATATGATTAATTGCATAGATGCTGTACTGATGTCTGATGATCATATATAGTATCATAGTATCAGACACGCATGGACATAAATACTATGTTTCAGCTAGCAGCAAGTACAGTCTAATATCTCAAGGGGGTTTTTTGAGCTTCTTGAGGCTGATAGATCTCAGCTGACCTTCTTGAGGCTCATAGATCGAGGCGCACATATGTTTTGATTAATTTGAGGATAATATATATAACGATGCACATACTATATGTTATCAGTTCTGGACACCCAATACCTGCAATGATAACGCTCAAAGACACGAACCATGCACCGATCGTCATAGCATTTACTTTGCGCACAAATCTGCAGGTAAAGAAGGAGAAAAAAGTAGGGACAGGAAGGCAGGCATCTAAACGAAGACAGATTATTGGGCTTAAAACACATAGTTTTTGCACATGTAAAGCAAGGGCGGCAAAGGAAAAGGTACAGGAGAGAAACATGTTTAGTAATGGAAGGACTACAGCTTTTTTTTTTCTTGCCACGAACAGCATGCA